CTATCTTGCCCATTCCTGATGTGGCAGACCCTCCCCACCATGGACACTGAATGACAGGGGTCTTTCTGGGCTGATCTCTTAACACTGAGTGGTTGAAATATGATTTCTTAGATTGAGCACCCCAGTAACTTTTGCTCATCGGTCCTCACTGTTCCTCTGTTTACCTCACGCAGAGAGACCAATTCGTTATTTCATTTATTCAGCCGGTATTTATTGAGCATCAACTATGTGCCAGGCATTGTTCTAGGAGCTAGGGATACAGCAGTGAGTGAAGCAGACAAAATCTCTGTCTTCGGGGGATTTCCATTCCAGAGGAAGAAGATGGCAAACAAAACAAGGAACTTAGGTGGGAAGATAGACAAGCTAATGTTATTAAGAAAAATAAGGCAGAGAAAGGGGAAGGACAGTGTTGGAGCAGGGGCTTCTAGATTAAATGATGTGCTGAGATGGCGACATTTGAGCAAAGACCTGAAATAAGCGAGTGAGTGAGCCAGCCGTATAGGTACCCGGGGGAACCACATTTTCGGTAGGGAGCACAAACTTAGAAAAGAGTGTACCTGCCATGCAGAGGAGTGGCGATTGTCTCAGCAGTTCAGTTGGGGTAGCGTGAGCTAGTGAAAGCGCAGTAGGAGAAGATGCTGGGGAGGAAACGCCTGGGTGGGTGGGTAGGCGGTGTGGTGCATGTTCTGTACACCTCTGGCTCCTACTTGGGCTAAGATGCGAAGCCACTGGAGCGTCGTGGAGAAGTGATATGACCTGACTTCTGTGTAAAGAGCACTTTGGCTTTGGGATTCAGAATAGAGTGGTTGAGGGATTCAGGCCGGGCAAGAGTGGAGGAAGGAGACAAATTTAGGGGCTATTAGAATAATCCAGTGAGGGGCGCCTGGGTGGCTCAGTCATTAAGCGTCTGCCTTCGGCTCAGGTCATGATCTCAGGGTCCTGGGATCAAGCCCCACATTGGGCTCCCTGCTCGGCGGGAAGCCTGCTTCTCCCTCTCCCACTCCCTCTGCTTGTGTTCCCTCTCTCGCTGTGCCTCTCTCTGTCAAATAAATAAATAAAATCTTAAAAAAAAAAAAAGAATAATCCAGTGATTTAGGAGCAGTGGGAATGTTGACAAGTGATACATCCTGAAGATAAAACCAATGGGACATGGGGTAAGAGGAAGAGAGGATTCAAAAATAACTCTTGGGATTTTAGTCTGGGCCAGTGAAAGAATATAGTCACCTCTTAACTTAGATGAGAAGTGTTGTGGGTGGCACAGAATATGAAGAAATAATCTGAAATCCCTAACCCATGATACTTCAAATATTTGAAGACAATCGCCACGCCCAGATAATAATCAAGTATAGTCACTTTTACTATAATGGACCTATGTGTCCCTAAAAAATCATCCTGCCATGCAAAATTGCACAATAAAAATGGTAGGGATTATGGGAAAAATTGAGTTGGGGCATAACACTGGAAACCTTTTTTGGTGATCCATCAAAAACAAAAGGGCACAGTTTCACATGTGTTAAACGTTTGAGATAAATATGGCACTTTGCCCTGAAAGAAACCAGAAGTTTGATGAGTGGGCTTTGGAAGGTTTGCGGCATGTGATTAATCGTGAGTCGGTGAAAGGCGACTTATCTAAAGTTGCATGGAAAGTGGCGAGGCTGGTGTAAAGGTGGGTCGGTAGTTCAATGCCGGCAATGAACAGCACAGTAAAGCGAACCTCCGCAGCCTTACATCCTGGGGCATATTTTCCTGCCTTTAAGATGAAGGTCCTTCAAGGCATACATTTATAACAGGTCCCTGTTTCATCAGAACTGAAAATTCAATGCAGTATGTATCTTTCTTCTTTAACTTCTGTATTTCCTGGAAATTCTTTTTTGGATTTGAAATTGTTAGCAATGTTTGAAATCACGAAACCAGCCTCAAAAAGGAGCTACTTCTGTGGGATTTAGCCATTTTCACTTAAAGTCTTTGTATACAGATAGTGCTTTCCTTTTTACATGGACTGCTTGGCATTTTGAACCAGGGCCCATGGACAGGCTTGGGATGTCAAATGAGTGTGTGTTTTTGTTTTTGTCGTGTGTGTGTGCGTGTGTGTGTGTGTGTGTGTGTGTGAATAGAAAAATTCACAGATACAAAAGATTGACAAAATGTAGTTTTGTGGAATAAGACATGGTGAAGTAGGGTGGCTGGTAGACGTTTGAGGTGTGTACATATGTATCCTTAAGCAGCTCAGTTCAGCTGGATGCAGTTTTCTGTTTCTCGGGGACAAAACTGAGCTGCAGCAAATGCAAAATCCATGGTATGGTCCGATTGTTCCCTAGTATATCAATTACACCGAAACAAATGTACAATTTCAGAATAGGTATTATGGGAAAACTAGCTGTACTAATACTAATATAGGAAAATTTAAAAAATACTAGAAATGTAAATTGCGTAGAAAGCAAAAGAGGACTTTGAATCCCTGGTGTAAGCTTGATGTAAAAGAGGAGGGTTCGTGGTCTAAAGTCAAATGTAGTTAAGCAGGACTTCAGTTTATGGAAAGGAAGATGAGTGAGAAATCTGTGTGAGACCTTGCATGGTGGAAGAGTTTCAATAACTTCCAATCTCTAACCGGCTCTAGGACTGAGTCCTGGGCAGCTGAGAAAACTCCCCTTCCAATGGGATCGCCCATGGCCTTCTGGCCCCAGCAGGGCTGAGGAGTAAGGATTGCTTAGTAATTGCTTGCCCTGTGCAGAGCTTCACCTTGACCCTAACCGGGCACATTAGCAGGGCCCCAGAGGCCCAGCACCTAAATGAAATGTAGCTCAACTCTCAAGGAGCCCGTGTCTCCAAATAAGAACCACATATAAAAATGAAGACTTGGTCCCATATGTCTTTAAACCCATGACGGTTACTGCTGATATGATACTGCAGGGGAAAATGACTTAGATTTTTGTTGGGTAGATGGATTTTGGGGGTCTCTCTGTGCAATTTTCTTTAACATAGTGGGGTCTTTGTCACTGTAATGAAAACTGCCTTCAGCTGGAAGGAATAAAAAAGAGAAAGAGAGAGAAACAATAGCAGCCTAGAAGCCGAATTTTCGAAATAAATTAAACACGTCTGAGACACGGGATTTATATTAGAAACACCGGTAAAACCTTATCCTTGAAGGTGTGAAGATCGAGGCTCTTAAAATTAATGTAAATAACAGTACTACCACCGCAAGCCTCCGTGGAGATCTTTGAGAGTATGGAAAAACAGGTATGGAAGGTGGGGCAACAAAAGAAAGGGTCACATCCAATAAAGAGTGTTTGCAAAATCTCGGGGAAATCTGTGCAGCTTTGAATAATAACACCTTTCACGTTTGCTTCTTCACCGATATTATATAAAATGAAGCAAAGAGAAAATAACAAATAAGTAGCTTTTTGTGTGCTTCATTGACGTGAACAAATGCAGATTTTTCAGTATATCTTCTATTGTGTGTGTGTGTGTGTGCAGAATTTTGTGGCTTAGTTAAGCCAAGGACACAAATCAGGAGGTTTGACATCTATTCTAAACCAATCACAGATGTGACCTTCGATGCATTTCCTACCTATAAGTATAAAAACTGCTCGCCTCTGAGTTTTATGGGTCAAGTTAGATGAGTTGGTGCATATGAAAATATTTTTGAAGTAATAATCTGCTGATCGAAGATTATTGTTAATGTGGGGATATGGAAGGAGGGAAAATGGTCAAGAAAAGAAGAGGATTGCTTTAGTTCCTCCAGCCCCCCTGGGAAATGTGTATTTTGCTAGTGGGGGAGCTGGGGCAGCTGGGTGTATGGAAGACAGAGAAAGAGAACGTGCACACGTTCAAGTGTTTGTAAATGCAAGGGGGACAGCCCTTTATTAGGCAATAGATATGCTGAGTTTCAGGTTTACGTTACCAGGAGACTTGGAAAAGTTGAAACTCAGCCTAACTAGGGCTGCCAATGGCCTCTAATGAAAATTTCCATTTGGAGAGACTAGATGTTGACTTGGCATGACACCAAACAAGCAGCCTGCTGCAAAATTTTACACCAATTGTATTTCTCCTAATTAAACCCTGTCTGACCTCAGCATTAAGAAACAATTTGTTTCAGGATATAACCAGCACACATAAGCAATTACATTCTGTTTGCCCCATTAGCATTATTTGGCTCCTTTGCTATCCAGGGCTGCTACTGCTGTAAATGCTGCCCCTGAGCCAGAGCTATAAAAAGCCTGGAGTGTTCACAGGCTTTTTCCCCCATACTAAGAACTAAGAATATCATCATATTTTAGCCAAGCCAAAGATTCTGGGAACAGTGTGCTTCTGTGTTTATTATGAGGGAGTGTCTATATATATGTGTGTGTGTATATATATATATATATATATATATATATATATATATATATATGAATATTTCTTATGATTTAAAAAAGACTCTACTTATAAAAAACCTGAGGAAGCTATAATAATCTAAGTTTATAATAATCTAAGCTTCTCTGGTATGATGTTTCTCATTTTCCCATTCAGCTATGACCCTTGTACTTTTACTTATTCATAGCTGTCAGACTTGGTACATTTTTTAATTTTAACCCCCTCCCAAAATGCATCCTGCACAGCTTTCGGTGGGGTTGGGGCAAATGTTCTTTTATAAAAGAAACATCATATCCATGTAAAAGAGACGTGAAACAGAGAAAGATCTTCAAACTCAAAAACTCTCAGCAGACCTGCTTATAAAGTTCATTTCAGTGGCAGGAGCTCTGGGCTTGGGGTCAAGGAACTGATTTGTTATTCTTGGCCCTGCTCCTTACACCTGCTGGATCTCAAGCTCATCACCTGCCTCTCTGAGTCTCCATTTCTTCTTTCACAAAATGGGACAGGAAATACCTGAGATATTTCTTCTGTAAGGCTATTAGAAAGATTAGGTGACTCATAAGTAGTGTTTCTATTCGGTCCTTAAAAGCTGCAGAGCATTGAATGGATATGGAAACATTTTTCATTCTAACTTCCTTCTGCATCTTTGAGCTGTAGGCTTCTATTCTTCTGCCATCTTGATCTGGGAGCTCTGGTGGGAAATACACCGAGGTGGAGTATATTCCATATAGGAAGCAGAGAATGGAGACGAGGAAAGAATTCCAGATCATCTGTTGGAGTAAGCAAATGAGGTAGGTGTTTCTCCTCAGCTTTTGTCTAATTTTACCTTTGAGCCTTGAAAAGAAATTTCCCACTGGTTTCTTTACCTGTAAAATGAGAATAAAACCACCTCCCCTCTTCTTATTTCATAGAGATACTGTGGGAATAAGCGACTCTTGCCAGCTAAAAGCTTTCAGAGTCTCAGAATGCAGGTGTTAAGGAATGGAGCAGGATTTTGCTTCCATGTTCTGCACGGAGGTGGGTCAGAGTGGCTCCGTGACATACTCTTCAGAGCAGAGCTTCTCTCTGTGAATCAAGAGCACCTTCTGTTGGCAACTGAGTCTCCTGAGTCTTAATAGTAGAGGTACATTTCAGCATTGAAGCAAACTTACAGGAGCCTGAGAACAGAGAGTAAGTGCTTATTGACTTGAACAAACCATAAGTTGGAATATCTGCCCCTTCCTCCCGTCACAATGAAAGCTGCGTCATGGCAGTGGTTTGAAAGCGTAACAGATAAAGCCCTATTCGGAGTCCTGGGGTCCAGAATGTAGCATACTGCCGGGGAGTAGGGGTTATACTTTGCAATGGAACGCTTTGACAGGAATCCCTTTTCAGACATTTACGAGCCGTGTGGCTTGGACAAGTCCTTTAACGTCATCTGGTACCAGCCTAACTACCCCTCATTTTCCAGATTTCAGCATCTGCACTTGGTGTTTGTCTACATATTTCTCCCAGGTCAAAAGCACTGACATACCTGTTTGTATTAACCAGTTGGTAGGACAGGGATTCTAAGATTATGAAAATGCAGATTCCCCAGGCTCCCTTGGAGGTGACTGTAGCTGGTGAGGGGCCCAGGAATCTGCATTCTTAAGAAGCACCCCTGGTAAATTTGATGCACTTGGGCTGAGATGAAAATACACTTGATTAACATAACTGGCACCCAGAATAGTGTCCGATACAAAGAAGGCATTCGATAATCTTTATTGAATTAATGCATAAATGGTGGCCTAACCTATCCATATCAGGAAAGACTGCCTTGCTCAGGGGAAGTATAAAAGCTTACTGGTTGGAATAAGTCTTTATCTAAATATTAAGGTCTCAGTTTCCTGTAAGGAGGAGAGGAGAGGAGACATCTACTAAGAAGCAGGGTAGAAAGCCCTGGAATTTTAAAAGGAAACCAGCGACACAAGACCCTTGTGACTGGCTTAGGATGAACCACTTCTTCTCTCTTTGAGAAGCATCCTTTGTTCTCTCTCTTCCCTTACTGGCTCTTGATTTTTACTTAATTCATAACTCTGATGCTGGTATCTGCTCTATCCTGCTCTTTGTATCTCCGACCATAACTGTTCTTACTTTTCCCCTTTGTCCCTGTAATTCTCTGCCAATCCATTGCCTTTTCTAACATTTCACTGATATTGATCCAGTTTCCCTACACCCTACCTAATGGCTCATGAATTCAGAGTTCTTTGTATGTGGTTGCCGGTAAAACAAAGGACACCCAGTTCCATTTGAATTCTAGATGAACCACACATCTCTTTTTAGTATAAGTATATCCCAAACTTTGCACAGGACATTTATAGTAAGAAATTATTTTTGGTACTTCAAATTTAACTGGGCATCCTGTATTTTTATTTGCTGAATCCAGCAACCTTATCTCTGGGTGATCTTGCTTTGTGCCTTTGGTTCTTGTTAATCTCTTGATTGTCAAAGTTAGCCAGCCTTCTGCTCACTTACTCTGTGTTGCCTTTTCACATCTGTGTCTACCAAAAGTTTTCATCTTTCTACATTCCTAGTCTTTCAATTTGCATCTTCCTGATTCTTGTCGCCTGTTTTGGTTTTAATCCATTGTTCCTCTCCACCCAGCGTTGCCTGCAGGGAAGGCTGCTCTAGATCCCTGTTTCTAATGTTAGCATAGTCTCTGAAATATACTCGGATACTCTGATGTAGGTTTTCTCCCCATGACTCCTACCCAGTTCCTAGTGCTGGAAAAAAAAAAAAAATAGGGGCGGGGTTAGGAGCACCAATCTCGTTGCAAAAGGGAACTGAGCTGCAGTGGCCTAGCACTTAGTACTCTTGCTCATGACCAGCAGTGATTGCAAAAAGCTGGGATGAAAGCAGGGATGCCCAACCTGCAGTTCTGTTTCTTACTTCTTGGAAATCGGGAAAGAGGAACTTGGACATCGATGGAAGATCTTGCTCAAGATCTTGAAGATGACTCTTTTTTTCTTTTTCTCATTCCCCTGATCCTTCCTGTCTATCATAGTTCCTTCATCTCTTCACAACCTAATGATCATTTCGTCTTTTTTATTCACTTGTAATGTGTTACCTGTATGTGATCCATACAAGGCTTGCCAATTCGCTACATATTTTCTTACTGTCAGAGACTATTGTTTTTACTTAATAGTAGCCAATATTTATTCAGTTTCTTCTAAGTGCGACCACCGTGCCAAGCATCATATTATATAGGTGATCTCATTTCAACCTTACATCATTCTTATTTCCTTGATATAGAAAACAGACAAGCAGATGCATAAAAGCTGACTTTTGCTAATTTACATACTTTGGTGAAGCCAAACTTTGAATCCAGCTGTAGCTGATATCGCAGCCCTACTTTTAACACTATGTTGTATTTCCCTCCGTGTAATTTACACTAGGTTCTAAGAGAAGTATTACTGGTTATTTAAACTATTTGGGTATCCTTCAAGTTGGGAGTCATAAAAGAATCAGCTGTAATCTGAGTTTGGAAATCCAGGCTAGAGAGACTCACAGTCTCCTGCAAAATCATTTGTGCCTCAATTTCTGCCACAAACTTTTCCTGTTAGACTTTTTTTCTTCTAACTGCTTGGCCTTGACCTCTCCCAGAATCTCTCATTCATAAATACACCTTTGACAGCATCAACTGTTGTCCCCATCATTGGCGGATATTTCTTATCATGTGTAACTAAAGTGGCCCTCCTCTGCCTACCCCCCCAAATATTTTTCCTTCAGCCACAGGATTTATAAGATTCTTTTTTTTTTTTTTTAAGATTTTATTTATTTATTCATGAGAGACAGAGACAGAGAGAGAGAGGTGGAGCGAGAAGCAGACTCCCAAGGAGCAGGGAGCCCGACGCGGGACTCGATCCCAGGACCCTGAGATCACGACCTGAGCCGAAGGCAGACGCTTAACCATCTGAGCCACCCAGGTGCCCAGGATTTATAAGATTCTTGAGGATCAGATTTAAATTTGGAGTGGCGAACCTACTGAAACAGTTCACTAAAGCTGGGAATGTTCCTGAAATAATAGGATTCTTCTGTAATTCCACCAAAGTCCAGAGGAAAATACTTCCCTCTCTTCCATAAGCACTACTTCTGGAAGACATTGACTCCATATTTACCCCTGATAGGAAGCATGATAATGGCAGGGGTGGCCTAGAGTTCCATTTACCAAGTTATCACCCAAACCCAAATCCATTTGTATTTGCATTATCTCTGCTCAGAGGGTCATCTTGCCTCCAAGAAGCAGCATGATTTTCTGTTTGTTTGAATAAAGGGAGGGTAAGGAACAGCTAAAGTTACAAGGGTATTTTATTTATACTATTAAAAATTTCTCTGTGAAAAATTCTGCTATAATCTTAAAATCTTATATATTTTCTGGAGAGTACCTTCCTTACTGGGTCCCTCACTCTAAAAGCCGAGGGACTTATTATTCTCGTGGGATAATGCAGAGCATATCTTCTCAATTCTCTTTGGACTTGGCCTTTCTGGTTAGCTTCAGACTGAGATGTTGAAGCCCAACATAAAGTGCATGTATGATTTGTGAAACTCAGGGTAACAAAAAACTTTTAGGAAGAAATAGTGTCTGCCTACTGAGTGCACATGCATGCATGCACATCACGTGCGTACATACACACACACATGCACACTTTCTCAAGAGCTAGTGTTCTGGGTTACCAGGCGAGCAACTTATCCTGAGGTCCAGTCTGCACTTTGAAGGCCAACTTTCTAGCTGTTCATCAGGTATTTGAGCCCATGATCTGGATGTCACTGAAATGTGCCAGGATGTCCAAATCTCTGTGATGAGGTCCTCCTTGCAAAACCGCAGATGTGAAAGCTGGCCTTTTTGTAATGCATGGAAATATGTGTCACTTCTCAAGTGATGTACCCTCAGCAAGACATACAGACTTCTGTTCACTGTGGGCAAAGTTCTTGGGGCTCGAGGAACTAGGCGACAGTTCATCTGAAGAAGGTCATGATCCAATTAGGTAAATGGAAGAAAGAAAGAATACCTCCACTTAGAATCTGGGAAGGAGGAAGAGCTTTATGTATAAGTCATAGGATGGAACCTGATGTGGTAATTTAAGGAGGCAGAAAGCCATATTGGTTAAGAGCCTTGGTTGCCTGGATGTGAATTATGGTAATTATGGTTCTACCATTTACTACACATACGTCTACATTCCAGCACTCTAAAGGCTTTTGTGGCCTATAAAATAAGGATATTTGTATCATACAAGGAGTGGCTGGTGCCAGGATTAGATGAGATAATTATGTAAAGTGCTTAGCAAAAGGCCTGGGATGTAATAAGAGATGAAAATGATGGTGATTGTGTCAGTTTACTATTACTGTGTAACAAATTACCACACATGTAACAACTTCAAGCAACACAAATTTATTACTCACAGTGCTAAAGGGTCATAAATCTGGCTTGGCTCAGATGCGTTCCCTGCTTAGGGTTTTACCAGGCTGAAATCAAGGTGTTGGCTGGCCTGGGCTTTTTTTCTGGAACCTCCAGGGAAGAACCTGTTTTCAACCTCAAACAGGTTTTGGCCAAATTTTGTTTTCTGTGGGTGAAAGACAGAGGTGCTCTGATTCCTTGCCTGCTGTTAGGTGGAGGGCCTCTCTCAGCTCAAGGCCACTTGAATTCCTTCTCATGTGGGTGCTTCCATCTTTGAGCCAGCAACACTGTGTCACATCTCTCTGTGCTTTGAAGCTCTTTTACTTCCTCTCCTGCTACTAGCCAGAGAAAACTCTCTGCTTTTAAAAGGGGCACCTGATTGGGTCAGGCCCACCCAGATAATCTCTGTATTTTAAGGTCAATTGACTAGGGGGCTTCACGGTCTGCAAAATCTTCCCAGAAGTTACTCCATCAGTTCTTGTTTTAATAACCAGGGGACAGGAATCTTGGGGAGGGTGTCTTTAGAATTCTGCCTGCCACAGTGAGGATGAGGTGATGTGGATCAATGACTAAACTTTGGTCTTTGCATATACAAAAAGAGGGCTGAAGCTAAGCTTGGAAGCAGATAGTAGAAACTGACCAATTATTCTGCATCAGAAAGCAGAATTCCTTATTTGCTCTGAGAGGGCAGGGGAGAATTGTAAAACAAGAACTGGATGGAGAGGAAGAGAGGAGCTAAGTCACATGGCAGGGAAAC